AAAAAAAAAAAAAAAAAAAGAAAAGACACTATACAAATATGATATTTATTAAATGTCTACTGCTTATGTTATTCATAAGCATTTACATAAGAAGCAGAAGGTACAAATACTCCCCTTTAAATTCTTGGTGATATGCCTCAGTTTGCTTTGACATGTATTTGCTCAAATGGCTCCTCTAAATCTGACACCGTATCAAATTCTTGAAGAGCTCCTTGATACAGCAAAGATCCCTCTCCTTCAGTTATAAACTTGAATTCTTTTTTGCAGTTTTTGGCGAGAGCTGGGTTTGAACCCATCACCTCTGGCATATGGAGCCGGCACCCTACTCCTTTGAGCCACAGGCGCCGCCCTGAATAAAATGTTTTGTCATTAGGCAGTCATATTTCTATTTATTTATTTTTTTAGACAGAAACTCACTTTGTCAATCTGGGTAGGATGCTGTGGCATCATGGCCCACAGCAACCTCAAACCTTGGGTTCCAGTGATCTTCTTGCCTCGGCCTCCAGAGTACCTGGGACTACAGTGCCTGCCACAATACCTAGCTAGTTTTTGTATTTTTAGTAGAGTCGGGTCTTGCTCTTGCGCAGGCTGTCCTAGAGCTCCTGAGCTCAAGGAATCCACCACTCTCAGCCTCCCAGAGTGCTAGGATTATGGAGTGAGCCACCGTGCCTTGCCTGGCAGTCATGTTTTTAAAATGACATTATGAAAACTAGTTGATATGCAACTATCATATTGGTTTTAGCTAATTTTTCCCCTATAATATTTAGGGGATTCCATTTCTAAACAAAGCATTGGCTGTTTCACTAAATAGCCAGCCACATTTAGATGTTCTGTGGAAAACCTCAAACTTGTCATTTCCTAAATTGCATTTCTTACTTAATTCTCAAAATTTTTTCCTCCTGCTGAGTTCACCAAATTAGAGAAATGAGCCAGCATCTATACAATCACTCAAGCTGGACATTTACAGATAATCCTTGTCACCTCTCCTTTTTTCATCTATCCTGTGTTCACCTTCACAACAGCAACCTCATGCCCAGCCTGGCTTCAGAGGTTTTTGCCTTTCAAATAGCTCTAGAATGTGTCTGGGTCTGCACCTACTGCCGCTGTCTCGCTGTCTCGCCTATACTTAGCAACAACTTCCTAATACTCCCGCTGTTCAGAATGCTCCTCTAATTTCACTACCAACAAAATAATCCAACTCAAAATTTAACACTCCCCTAACTGTTGAGAAGACAGAAATAAAACTGTCTGACTATCTGACGTCGGTCCTCCATCCTCAACCGTCCTATCAAGTAGGTATTATCATAGCATTTACAGGCAGCAAGTCTGAAACCTATAAAAATTGACTGACTTGAATTTCACTAGATCTGTCAGGGCCAAACTCTTGCTCTTGAGTTTAATGCCTCAGGTCTCTCACCTGTAAAACTGGGTCAATAGTAGTAACTTCTTCACACCCTTGTCCTGAAGAGCAAGTGAAGTGATAATATGGTTAAAGTGCCTGGCAGAGAACACTGGGTTAACTTTAGCGGCTATTATGACTGTTTCGTAAGCTTTATTGCTACTTTACTCTTAGTACCAAATGAAGAAATAAAGCACGAGTTCTGAGTCTGGTGGATCCTCTCCTCTCCTTTCTGACGTAGCCGGCTCTTCCTTCACTCTTGGTTAATTACCGGTCTGTGCTGCTCGCCCGCCGCACACGTGGGGTACTTGGCTCGTGCACGAGGGCGGTGTCGGGACCTACACTGATGTCTGGTGCACGTCTGTGTAAACCGAGATGTGAACAGTCCCGGGAGACGGGTAGGCGGGGGCAGATGGGAAGAATCGTGAACCAAGTCGAGACTTCTGACTTCTACTTCACGTACACCCTCAGACAAGGGACTCCATGTCTCAGGTCTTCGTTTCCTCTTTTGCAGAAAAAGGAGTAACACTCCTTGTGCTGGTTCTCAAGGTTGCTGCGACGACCTTGAAGTAGATGTCCCGGAGAACACTCGGTTATTGGAAACCCAAGCGAGCCTTAGAAATGGCGAGGACGTGGGGGAGGGTGTCACGTGACCGGGCTGGCCCGGCCTCCGCAGACCTCCGCGCGCTTTTCCTAGAACGTCTCGTCTCTATGGTCGATGGTCCTTGAATTCCCGTGCCGGCCCGGTTGTCCTTCCGGGGCGAGTGCCACCGCTTCCAGGGCTGGCCGCGGCGTGGGACAGCTGTACCCCGGCTCCCTCTGGGTGTGTGTTGCCGCATTCCCTGCTGCGATGAGCTTCCTCAAAAGCTTCCCTCCGCCGGGGCCTGCCGAGGGGCTCCGGCAGCAGCAGCCGGACACTGAGGCTGTGCTGAACGGGAAGGGCCTCGGCACCGGTACCCTTTACATCGCCGAGAGGTAGGGTTCCTGCCCCAGCGCTGGCCTGCGCCTTGGCACCCTGCTTGCTGGCGCAGGCGGTGCGAAGGAAGAGTGGGGCGCGGCGCGGCCGCGGGGGCTCCGCGAGGGGCGCGTGCTCTGCGTTGCCTCGGGACGCCTCTCCTGGGTGGAAGCCTTGGTGATTCTAGCGTCCCTGTCTCCGGAGCAGTTGTCTGGTCTCTGCCCGGAATTTCCCCTCACATATTGTGCTTTTTTACTTGTCTTTTGACTGCTGGTCTGGGACATACGTTGCTCGTTCCACATCCTTAGATGTACCTTGCTTTTCCGAAGGAGGCGTTCCCCTGTTCAGGATATGTAGGTTCAGACTGTGGAGGACTTTGACAGTTTGATTAAGGAGTATAGGTTTTCTTCTTTAGGTGTGAGTGGGAAGAAGAATCCTCAGCCCTACGTAGGCTGGGGTCATATCCAAAGCGACCTGACTCCTGTTTCGGGATCTTGAAAGGAATTACCCTTTTATTTGGTCGCACTTTGTATTTAATATTTTTGTAGTCAGACAGATACGCTTTAAATATTGCAGTTGTAGATCTTAGGTCCCTGTTTCCTTGACGTGTGGTCCCCTTCATTTTCTTTCTTTCTTTTTTTTTTTTTTCTGCATAGAAAACACAGGATTAATAACAGCCACTATTTACTTAGCACTTTTTATATGCAATGTCATGACAGTCATGGCAAGCAGAATTCATTGCCCATTTTATTCCAAGAAAAAAACTGAAGCTCAGAGAATCAGAGCATTGCTGAAGCTGGAATTAGAATTCCAGGCTATCAACTCCAAAGTCTTCTCTGAACCATCATACATGGATTATACTACCCCTCAAACATACCTTTTAAAATCTTAGTTTCCCAAAACAAAACAAAAAACCTAAATGGTCACATCTTTTGTAGATAAAGACCTGTTAATTACCCAATACGTTTAACCACTTTCTATAAAGTTTCTTGTCTGAAGGAGACTGGCAGCATTACTATTTATAGTTATACTGCTAAATAACCTTCAACTATCTGTATAGCACATAAGAAATAACACTGTCCCCTTCATTTTCAAGCCAGCAATAACACATTGAATTCTTCCTGTTCATCATATCTCTCTGGCTTCCCATTTTGGTAAGTCACTTCTGTCTTTTTTTTTTGAGACAGATTCTCAAGCTATCCCCCTGGGTAGAGTGCTGTGGCATCAAAGCTCACAGCAACCTCCAACTTGTGGGC